TCTTTTCCTCCACGCCCACTGACCATGTTTCATACCCCTACAACGCCGCGCTCCAAACATACACCATTAACAGCCTTTTTCGAATTTCTAAATTAACCGTTCGCAAGCATAGAAGTGACTTCTTTTTATTAAAGGCAACACGGCACTTCGCTATCTTCTGCTTTATATCCCTACTGCTCCTTCTATCCCGATTTATCTGACTTCCTAGATACCTAAAACCGGCCACTTCTCTTAATTTTCCGTTTCGTATCATTATATTCGCTCTTTCCTTACTTTTTCTTCCCTTGCATCCTATTATTTTAGTTTTACTTTTATTTATTTTCATACAGTACTCATCTGTTAGTACCGCTTCCATTTTATTTAAAGCTATCTCTAAGTCCTCGTTGCTAGATGCTAATACTTCTATATCATCTGCAAATCTAAGCATACTAATCTTTTGCCCCTGTATATCTCTCCCTACAGTTGTACTGTCTTTAATGATGTTGATCGCGTCTTCGATGTATAGATTAAAAAGTAGCGATGACAGTGTGCATCTCTGTCTGACTCCCTTCCTAATTTTTACTTCTCTACGTTGCAGCCCTAGTTCTATAAGTGCCTGTTGCTCTTTATACAAACTAAGTATCACTCTTTTATCTTTGTAACTCATCCTATACAAATTCTATGTACGCACTCTTTCTTTTTTCTATCGTTTTCTCTATTGTTACCCGTAAAGCTAGAATGGCCTCTCTCATTCCTCTATTTCTTCTAAACCCAAATTGATCTTCCGCTAATAGTTCTTCCGCCCATTTTTCCATCCTCCTCTGTACAATTCTAGTTAAGATTTTTGACGCATGAGAAGCTAATTGTTCTAAATATCTTGCACCTATCTGCGCCCCTCTTTTTACGTAATGTTACTACCAGGTTACGTTTATAATCCTCTGAGACTTTCCCCGTCTCGTAAATATGACTAACCAGCTTAAACATACGATCTCTAACCTCTTGTCCTGCATGTTTTAGAATTTCCCCCTGTATTCCATCTACACCTGGCGCCTTATTATTCTTTAAATTTTTTAATGCTACATCGAACTCTTCTCTCATTATGGGATAACCAAGCTCATCTATTTCCACACTATCTTCCTTCTCTAATATATCTCCTAACTCAGGGCCTGCGTAAAGGTTCTCTAAATATTCTTTCCACCTATCTGCCTTTTCCTCATTTTCTATCAACATGACCCCTGCCTCGTTTCTTATATTATTACTACTGTATCCTACATCTCTAAAATTCCTTTTAATTATATTATAAGCCTCATCCGTTTTACCTACTTCAAACTTTTCTTCTACTTGTTTACACATCCTATCAATCCACTGTTCCTTAGCTGCCCTACACTTCCTAATTATTTACCACTTTATAGCCTTTTTGCCCTTCTTCATCTACCCTGTTTTTGTATTTCCGCCTTTCTTCTATTAATCTATTAATTTAAGACCTAGTCTATCTGCAGCTGCTGACACGGCACGTTTTAATGCAGTATGCCCAGTATACATTAATATATATCTTTCCTAAGATGTCCTGTAAATATCCCGGTCGTTAGTTTTTTATATGTCCTTTGGGGATATTTTCTGAATATATAAAACTGTAACATTCGTTTATCCATATTGCATCCTGAAGACGTACGCAGAACGTAAGATCTATATAATGTATCCTTAAAATCTAACATGGATGTTTTTTTTTACATCCTTTGGATAACCATCTGCTGTATGGCGATCCACTCATGACAAAGATAATTTCGTTGCCACTGCACATACAAGTCTAGTTTAGCAAAATTTTGGAACATTCTAGAACGGCTAATCTTTATAAATTGTTGTTGTCGCGATATGCGATATCGAGTGCAGTTAGTTAGTACGAGTCAGAGAGTTCGAGGCGATAGAAGAAGAAAAAGCGAAGAAATGACAAAGTGTTTATATAGTGGTATATTACAATAAAAAATAAAAGTAATAATAGAGCGAGAAGAAGTTTAAATGCGTGACAACATTAAAGTAAGACGCAATATATAACCTTTGTTACGTTTTTTTTCACGTACTATCTTTTACAATATAAATAAAGTAACCCAACAAATGTTTGAAATTATTTTTTATTGTGGAAAACACTATTTCAAGAATACTACACTCTTAACAGGAGGCTTCGATTTCATATAATCGAAATTAACACGAAGTGACGTCATGCACGAATTGAATTAAAATGCGTACATGTGCTGAGGTTTACTATTCAGTTATACTGTCCGTTTCTTAGAGAACAGTACATTACGTATCGAGGGAAGAAATAGGGTTTTTTCAGACTGCATGTGAATGGCCACCCAAGCCAAAGGCTAGGGTAGCAAACATGCAGTCTGAGATAGCCCTGTTTCTTCCCGAGGTACGTATACTATTTTTTGTCGTTTTTGTGCGGAAAGCTCGTCATTAAATTGATAGTTGGCGAAATAAGAGTAAATGATTTAGAGGTTAGAAAGACATTGTCATTGAACAACTGATTTATGCGCATGCCCATAAACTTCAGCGCATGCGCTCAAAAGACTAACTTCATTACCTCCCGACTAAAACACGGCTGAAAAGAGGCCATATCTTCCCTATTTCATAGCACGCAAAACGAGCTTTCCGCGCTAACACGACAAAAAGGTACATTGTATCGGTCGTAGGTAGAGGGACAGCCGAAATACGGCCGTTTATTTACCGAAGCACACTCATCTGCAGTCTGTTATTCTACTTGCTTTCATGTGTTTACCTTGTGAAATCGTTATATAGCACAATATAGACTTAGTAACTACCAAAATATTGGAAGCTGTCGCGCACTGTAACAAGGCACCTTATTAGGGGACTAATTTTGTATGATTAAATCGTGAAATTCAGAGAACCAGACGAAACAACTCGATAAAAGTGAACAGTTTAATTTACGCATAGAAATGAACAAAAATACACAATTAAAGAACAAATTAATATTATTATTTTAGATACATAAAACAAAATCAAACAATAACATAAAAATAGATAAAAAATAGCAAAAGGGGGAGAGCAAGACGTTCACTCGCGAATATACAACTAACACCACTGAAACTACGACTACTAACTGCTTTTGAACAGGTCACGTCTTGCTAAACACTGTTAGTGGACTTGGTGGCATTCAAATATCAACCTAATGTAAAATGACGGCAATTATTCAATTCAGACACAGTAACGTTGAGAAAAAACTAGATCTGTTTACGGTCCCGGAAATAACTACAAATCATCCATCAAATCTTATTGACAAAAGTGCAGCGTCCAACGTTCCGTATGCCAGGAAACATCGACATGCTAATTGGGGCGGGGCCAACACTTTCAACATTTATTCCTGGACAAAGAAAATTGTCTATAGCAAATGGACCGGACTATTTTATGCAAAATATCCATTTTGGTTGGGTTGTGGGTGGCGAAATACCTATGCCAAACAAACCTGACAGCACCCAACGGCAAACACAAGAACAATGTCATATAACTACTATGCAAGCTCTTCAACATCTCAGGAAAATTTGGGCAATCGAAGAAGGGCCCAAGATAAACCGCTTATCTGAAGAAGAAACCGCTTGTGAAATCCATTATCGAAATAATACTACGAGATGTTTAGATCGAAAATTCATGGTGGCACTGCAATTCAATTCCAAGAAACCGCTGCTAGAAGAACCTCGAGAGCGCGCTTTCATTCGACTCTGAACAGTTGAAAACAAACTTAAGAAGTAACGAAATTTTAAGAAGGAATATTCCAATGTAATTCAAGAATATCTCAGCATGGGACACTTGGAACTTTTACCAGAAAAAACACCTGTGTCTGAAGGCTTTTATCTGCCTCACCACGCTGTCATCAACGAAGACAGTTTAACCACAAAAACATGAGTTGTCTTCAACGGAATGGCAAAGTCTACTTCAGGAATTTCTCTAAACGAAACTCTTATGGTGGGACCGACTATTCAAGGCACCATTTTTTCTCACCTTATGCGATTCCGATTACACTCGATTGCGATTTGTGGCGCTATCGAAAAAATGTATCATCAGATTTGGGTTCGGCTACAAGATCGAAAATATCAGAAAATTTTATGGAGAGACAAGTCTGGAAATGTTCAAGACTATCCATTAAAGACAGTCACATTCGGCTTAGCCGCAGCTAGTTTCCTTGCGATACGCACTCTCACACATGTAGCAGACGCTGAAGGGGACAAATATCCAACAGCTTCATAACTTCTGAAACGTGATATGTACGTTGATGACATCATCAGTGGTGCAAATACTATAGAAGAAGCTGTACAACTCCGCGATGAAGTAAATAACCTGCTTTAGAGTGGCGGATTTAAAGTACAAAAATGGGTTTCGAAAGATCGACGTTTCCTGGTAGGCATCCTAGACGACAGCATTAAGAAAAAAATACAAATCAGTGTGAATGTTGAAAACTCTAGGCATTTGTTCGCAATCTCAATCAGATACCATAGTATATACCTGAAACAAGCTACCAACCGAAGTCACAATGAGAACAATTCTTTTCGAGGTTGCAAAAATTTTCGACTCTTTGGGCCTACTGGGTCCAATCATCTTAGCTGGTCGATTAATTCTTCAGGAATGCTGGCGACAGCACATAACATGGGACCAACCACTATTACCTATTATCTTATAGATATAGCACTCATTCGCGACAGAATTTAACAATGTCAGCAACATTACTTGTGATCCTTCCAGAAGTTTTAAATGTTCAACCACATGGTGGTAAAAATATTTGAGACAAATTGACCCTGTATCTGGTTGACTTTTTTTGATATAACTTCTTTTGTAATAGTTTTGATATTTCATTATTAACTGTATTCTGTTCTTCATCAGAACATTTTGGTCCCTTATGGACACTCCGTTGATGCGGTTTTGATAAAAATGGCAATTTATAATCTTTTAACCAAGAAAAAATTGTCGGTGTAAATCTTTTGAGTCTACCTACGATAAATCCTATCTCTCATTCCGAGGAGGTCTTGTCCAATTTCAGCACTTCTCCTGTCTCTCCCAAATCTGCTACCTGAATGGTTCTCTTATAGCTCTGGCTCTTGGGAGCTGTTTGGTAACGTCCATGCTGCCGTTCTCCCACCCGCTGCTTGTGATAGGATGGACTCTAGGAGTTTAAAGAGGTCTTCATAAATGCCGGATTTTTATTTAAGGGCTTAGAACTCTTTAGTTGCTGCTACGATATTTGAAGACTTTTTGCTGTTTTTAATTTTTCACGGTACGCAAACATTTGGTCCTTCAGGCCGGATAGGGTTTAGCTATTTGATTTGATAGATTTGTCGTTTTGATTAGAAACTTACTCTGCACTCGTCGTGTCATAGTTTGGGTGCATTTAGTAGAACATTTAATTACATACGTATTTGATGCATATGTAATGTATTTCTTATCATAGCATTTCATTTGCAAAACAATATATTACTCGACTTCAGGGTGTGCGAGATTTAGGACAGGAAGAGAGTACCAACACCGATGTAAATGTAAAGGCTGCTTTTAGAGCCGCTTATGACGCAGCAAAATATATTCATAATTCTTTTGAAAACATTAACCGATAAACGTTATTTCACGAATCAAATGCGCCATTGCTTGTTTAAAATGTCTATAGAATTACATAGTTTGTATTTCAAAATAAGTAGGTATTATTCCATCATATCTGGCAATGAATCCGTATCAACTGCAGCAGCGTTGGCGAATATCGAAACCTCGCCATCACTGACTCTTTCAGAATCTATTCAGTCAGTACCAGCATTGGCGGTATAAAATCAGTAAAATTACCAATTACCTACCTTTTCGGGTGTCTTGAAAGAATGACCTTCATATATAGATCTAACAATCATTCACAAAAACGAGTCACTGTTGCTCAAAGAAAAATATCAGCATTTAATTTCAACATTGAAGGGGATATACCTTTCTTGGTGCATTTTTCTTTGTTGTTGTATTATTGATAGAGAGCTTGGAACTCTCTCCTAATGGGGAGAATCAAGGAACCCCAGGCTGAGGAACCCGAAATAAATTCTTTTTTAGTTAGTTCTTTGCTTTGGTATAGTGGCGCCCGAGTTTTTGTTTCACTTGACTTATTGTGCATTTTTCATGCTTTTATGCTTAACGTGAATAAAAATTATATTAATCAATCTGTCTCTCTAGTAATACGGGTAAAACCTCGCTAATCGCGTAGCAATATTTACGACTGATTTTGTAAGGCTAAGGCAAGTGTAACATGTTAACCGTGAGCCTCTGGTAGATTCGCCCATTAGGGCAGTTCACTCACATCGATCTTTATATCATCGTGTACCTTACACTACGTAAACGGACTTTAGTAAGAGGAATTAACTAGAACACAAAAACCTCTCCGTCCAGTCGTAGTCTGTAAAGTCAATCATTTATAAAAACATGAATTTAAAGGAATTGATGAAACTAAAAACTACAATCTGTCGTACAATTACGACAACGATTGGAGATTACATCAAGTATAACGTAAGAATACAATTTGAATCTTTTTGTACAACTTGTAGACTTTACACTATCACACATGCACAACTACCGCTAAAGATCTTAAAATTACCTTTTTAATTGTTTCTCTGTTTTTCTTTTCTGCCGATTTTATTACTTTTGCTTGTGATTCCACGGTCTTTTGTTGTTTCTTGGATGCTGTCCTTTTTTTATCGTAATATCTGCAACAATTGTTTAATGTTGATAAAGTAAAAAATTGAACCTTATAATTGTAGTAAATACTCTATTTACAAAATAATGTACATTTAACATAAGAAGTTTAAAACTCACTTAGTAGCGTTTGAAAATGCAGATAATCCTAAATCTACATCAACAACCATATTAGGAATTATGTCTGTACTTTCAGAAGAAACGTTAGTAGTATCAATTGAGTCACTCAATGAATATGGATCTTCCAGATACAAGCTTATATGATTAATTTCTAATTTTAAACCTTTAATATGTTTTGCTACTACATCTCCTCGTACAGCTGCACTATTTATAGAACTCTGAATTTCATCCCATGATATCTATAATCACTCATGTTGTAGCATTAGTTTATCTAAGCACAGTTATGTACTTGTCATATAACTTTCGAAAAACAGAAAAAATGTTTACTTAATTTTCCCAATTATTTGATATTACTTACAATAAAATTTAACTTTAACAATCAAACTGCATAACATCTACTAAATAATTTTTGTAGAAATCAGCTAATTTCTAGGTGCTTCTAATTTTTGAAATTGAATTTTGGATCTTCTGTTTTTGTCTTTGTTGTCACGCATATTTATTATTACTATTACTTTTGTACATACTCCCATACGTAAGTAATAACTATAAGTATAATTGATAGTTAAACTACAGATATTATCGCAAAATTTTGGGAACTTAAAAAAATTTAATTTAATATCTGAGACCCTAATTTGAGAGTATCGGTTCCGAATGGTTTTTAAAAATTTTGAAACATCTAAAGAAATTTTCATTTCTTGATAGAGGAAATATTTACATTTTTGCTTCAAAATTATCGAAACTTCGAAAATTTTGTTCTTTTATATCATCCCTAGAAGATTTATTATTTATTTCCTGCTCTTTAAGGCGCCTTAATAAAAAGCATTTTATGTTAAAAAAAATATTTACTTTACAGTATTCAATTAAACAAAAAAAATACCTGATTAGCCAATGCCGCTCGAACAACTAATATAGCATCGTCAACCAATTTTCGATTTCTGGTAATGAGCTCGGCTTTTTGCTTGTCAACCATTTGTTCTTTTTCCAAAAAGTCTACTTTATTGGAATAACCTACTCTAATTTTCTCTAACTTTTTCCAAGCTTCTTGTTCTTGTTTAAAAGTTTGTAATTCTATTTTCTGACTTTCCATTTTAGAATAAAATTCATCAACAGCCGAGTTAAAAGAATCAAAGTCTCGGTAAGACATAGAACTGTGCTGGCGAAACAGCATCGGGTGGAACTCAATGTAGGTGCAAAAAGAATCTTCATCGGCAGAATCTTTTAAAATCGACCTTTCTTTTGATACAATAATATAACCCTGAAACAGAATGCTATTGTCAAATAAAATTTAGTGTGCTTTTGAATTTTCCTTCGTTCCTTTTTTTTTATGTGATACTTCTTTGGTCGCATTAAGAGTACTTAATCGTTCAAAGCCTACAATTAAGCCTATTCTATAACCCCAAATCGAATAGAAATACATATTTAAAATCGAATAGACTCGGTGGGATAGAATAAATTAACAAACAAACAATAGCTATTAATTTTAAAGACCGCTTTCACCACATACCGCAGTTTTGGTTTCTTCTCGGAACTTCTGTTTTTTAAAGAGAACTCAAAATCTTTTAAACAAACTTTATTCCTAAGAAACACTTTTGGACAATTACTTATTAGCAATACCCTATGGGCGGCAGCGAATCAGACATAAAAAGTCTTAAAAGTAAAAGTGAAGATGCACCTGTATTTATAAATTAAATTAGCTGATGCTGCAATCAGTGCGAAACACGCCATACCTTGCG